AAACATGCTATTTCATCTAAAGTAGTTTTTAATTGTGAAGCTGGTTGCAATGCAATTTGGAATTTTTACTTTTTTATGGAATAGGAGGCCAACGAGCAGACTTAGAGTACTTGATGGTAAGTGATCTGCGTCGGCCATGGATTCTTGCAGCATCAGAGATCTTTTTTTTAAATTTTAATACTTAATACTTCCTTGCTTTCCCACTGAATATAATTCCGTTCATTCATTTAATTACATTTTAGTTATTTCAAATCCTTGAATATAATTTTAATAACTTTCATTTTAGTATGAAATTTAAGGTAAATCCTTTTCCCGCATAATGCTAGGGTCTAGACAGAAATCTATTGTTGTTGGCTGGCCCCTTAGATTGTTTTCATAAGACTTTGACGCTCAGGTACAAAGTTCCTTGCCGTGAATTGTTTGTGAACATTTTCCCGCCAGAATAAAAGCTGTATTAATGGAGTTATGAGGAATGATAGGTGTTTGGTACAGCATGTATTACAGTTATATTGCAGAAGTCAGGGTTGGAAACCTGGCAAGTAGGTACCAATGTGACTTTTCCGAGTTACATGTAGGAACTTTCTATCATCATTTAGACGCCACTAACAAACGGTGAAGGAAAACATCGTGAGGAAACCTGGACTTATAATTTATAAGTTTTAAATCGCCAACCCGCCTTGAGCAAGCTTGGTGATTAATGCTCAAACCGCCTTGTGAGAAGAGGCCTTTGCGCAGCAGTGGGCACTTGAAGGCTTATGTTAATGATATACTTTATAGTAATACATTTACACTGTTCCAAACACATCTCGTTAATGTGATAGGTTCTCTTGAATAAGGAAATATACTTTTTATATTATATGTAAAGCTTTTAACTTAATTACAAATTTATGTGAAAATTCTCATTTCAATTATATTAATGTGTCGGATGGATTGTAAAGTTATTTTGCAATACGATTGGTAGGGGAGGGCGGGGTTCGAAGTTCCGATTTTGGAGTAGGAAGCAATATTAACGTAATAAATAAATCTAAAGTCTATGAATCCTGCATAAATAGATGTAGAATGTATCCTAGTTTCAAATTATATAGTCCAATTCATTGAAATAATAATATTTTTTAGCGCAGTATGATTTTTCTGTAGCAAGTCGACAAGGAACAACTAGCCCCACGAAGGGGCTGGTTGTTCCTCAGCTGAGGTAAGTTGTTCCGCTTGTCTAATCCAATCATTAATAATATAAGATTCGTTGAAAAGCTATGTATAAAAACATTAGGCAAATTTAACTGAATATTTATTAAGTTTTATTTATAAAAGTACAATATTTTAATGTTCCTTACTTATAATAGCACAAAATTTTAAAGTTTTTGACAAATCAACACCACGGCCTACAATTTAAAGTATTTATTAAAAAAACAGCTTAAGATTAGTAACTATCTCTAACATTTATCAACTTTGACAAAACGTTTAATTAACAAAAATAGAAAATTCTTAAAATTCATAAAGATAAGGAATTCTTTGGCTGTCATCCATCCAGAGCTATTTCCAGCTCCAATATTTGCTGGAGGACCATCACGGATGAATAGGTCTTTATACTTAAGGCGAGGAAAAACAAACATAGGCGGTACAGTATTTCCAACTGCATTTGCTGCTAATTCAACGGTAACTAAAGTACCTCGCTCAGATCGTTTCTCGTTTTTCGTTTATAGTTTCTCATCCTAAAACAAATAATTCATTTTTATTATTTACGTATTTCATTACGGGGCATGTTGTTCCGCGGAACAACTAGCCCCTCGACAGAGGAACTTTGAACCCCAAATCCCGTTTTCAATCTAACCTAGAATTATAATGAAATACCTAGTTTATAAAAAGCTAACAATTATATTAAAAAGATAATAACCATAGTTTGTCCAACTGATACTAGCAAGAAAAAAATAGCTTAAAAATTTATTGAAATAGACCAAAAAGTTTAAAGACGAAAAAATTTACTTACGTGATGTTTTTGGTCACTAATCCATTACCACTCTTACACGCCGACACAGCGTCACTTAAATGGCTGACGCAATAGCGGGATGATTTGACGTTTCGCGACGCACTTCACACTTATTGCTATATGTTTTCGTCATGGAGTTATTTGGATCGGAACAACCTACCCCCGGCACTTTGAACCCCGCCCTCCCTTACTTTCCGTGTTTGTATGCTTTACACAAATGTTCCAGAATTAGCTCTTTGTGTAAAAAACATGTTTTTAATTTCACACACAGGAGTAATTATTGACGTCGGATGATATTTATGAATTGAGAAATTAATCATTAAAGGCATTAGGTACACCTTTGTATAATGGTACAAAAATATCTACAGTAAGCACGAAAGCGTCAAAACATTATAATGAGGTCAATTTTTCAATGTTTAGTACGTGCCTCAGATCGTGAAAGATTATTTTGTTATTGACGTTTCCCATCTTTCTGAGAATATTCAATGCCAGACAATTTTATTTATTTACATTAAAGATATTGAATGTCGAGTTCAGGCTGCCGTGAAAGTAAATGTACACGTTCTGTATATTTATTTTACTATTTACAACTTCCCCTTGAACCGATCTAGCCACGAGATCACATTAGCGTTTTTTATTATCCCGACTGGCCATCTAATTACCGAACGTACGTCTTAACCTAAAAACAATAAAACACTGTATTCAACATCGATTTGTCTTTATTAAACTTTATGGTAACTAATAGTTTGTACTACAAGATTAAGTTTCAATATGTACAAAATATTTTCAAAACGTATGCGTAATCATAACGTTTAGTAAAATAGTTTAGATTTTAATAAAAGATACAGATTAATTAAGTAATTAAAATAAATAAATGAGATTTTAGGCACTGCACGTGTTTAACATCATATCACATTCATGGGTTCTATTCAACGTACACCACATTTATTATTCTAATAAGCGTTTCCGTTCTTATAACAATTTATTATCAAAGATAATTTTTTGAATTTAATTTCTCTACTAGAATTTACATTTATTTCATAATAAAATTCATAGTGTAGTTCCTGCAATACAGGTCCATAAACAACTTTTTTATTTCACTACACCCGAAGTCAACACATAATAATATGCCTAGTTACATATATATATATAGAGTTCATATTTCTATCAATTTTTATGAATCATTATGAGGCAAAAATATTTATCTAATAATCTCTATCTACTTAGACTATAGAAATATGTTTGAAACATAAAATAACAATTATTCTAGAACTACTGGATAGGTGTATTGCTTACAAACAGTTTAATTTTCAGACAATAAATATATACAAAGTGTATCGTCATTAGATTTCACTAATTAGCTGTCATCTCTGTAATATCATATTTCTTTCTTATTTTCCCGTTGTTTATTATCATGTCAGAGAAGTAAATTAACTAGTATTAATTATGTTTCAGAGTATCGTAAAAAATGTTGAGAAGGGTTTTTCTCATCGAGTGACGCCCACGTCAAGTGCGAAGGTTTGGATATTACTTTTCAAAAATTTATTGAAGACGACTTATTCCCGTGAATTAACTACACGCAGACGAAAGCGCGACGTTGCTGCGACGCGCACGCTGTTCATGAATATGAACCCCGGTTTGACTTGAAACTAGTCGAGCTTTTCTCAGTTAATTCACGCGAGTAAGTCGTTATTTTCAATTAGTATGTCTCACAGTAGTTACTTTCCAAAATGTTTTTCTCGTTATTTTCATCTTTATAAGAAATCACTGCGACATTATTGGAACATCAGATTAAATGAACACTTCTAGGTTCACATCTCCTCATTATTTCAATTACACAGAACTATCATAAAATATGCGTTAAAAGACAGTGCCTATGGAAAAATTCTCAGAATATTTACTTCCATAAAATGTTTTAAGTATCACTTAATTAAACATTTTTAAATTATGTTCTTTCTCTTCATTACACTAATTTGGTCACAAAGGAGAGGGCTTACAATGTCCGAGTAAAAATTGTTCTTGTAACAATAAAAAATAATAATAATTTGTTCTACATTATGACACAAAAAATGTTTTTATCATTTTTGGCATTGTCACGGACAATACAAGTTTTTGGCACGAAGTCATAGTTTACAAGTTCCAGTTTTCTAACTCATAATTAAATACATATCAAGGAGTTAGTTTACTGGTCACTAATAACTTCAAAGGAAGACCACATCGTGTTTCTATATATAAATATAAAATTCATTTTGAGATCAGAGGGAGATTTGATACGAAGATGATCTATGTTTAGTATTGTCTTACATAAACAGACCGAATTGACGGCAATATTTTAAAATGTATTATAAAATAGAGAACTATCTTATCGACAATATAGATAAATGTATGACATAAACGCCTTAAAATGTTTACAAAGCTATTTCAAGGTCATTTCTTCATACGCATGTATGCAAATGGAGCTATTATTCATCCCGATAGATGATATACGACCAGCTACATCGTATCGAGATGAAAGTCTAACATAAGACCTGCATGGATTGTGAAAAAATACGTTAATATTTAAAATCCACAGAACAATCTATTTATTCTTACAACAAATATGCAACAAATGCGTCTTGCCATTCAATATCAGTATCTAATACATCGGACCCAAATTTATTCCCAACGTCTCTCTCTTTCGTTAAGCCTAAACAGTGACTAGATAAAGTAGAATTACAAACTAAACTAACAATTAAACTTCTCGTAAACTTGATATGTACAATCGTTCAGTATGATGATCTAGAATCCATACATACTAACTAGGAGATATTCGTAATGATATAGATAGATTTCGTTGATCAAGAAGTTGTGACAAAAATTACAAAGGTAAGTATTATCAATAAAGTAGGTAATAAACAAACTTCACTTATAAGATAGAATTTAAAGTAACCAAATGTACAGTAAACACTAATGGCATTTATTATTTGAAGACTAAAGACTAATGAGCATATATTTAAGACGAAATGGAATCATTAACTTAGCTGTTGATGTTAAACTTGAGGCTACGGGTGCTGGGGTGCGTGGAGCGTGTGGCGAGCAGTCGTTCCGAGGCCTCGCACAAGTCGCTGGTTGAATACCTACTGCGTCTCATAGTCGCATTTAACGTTTCTTTTTCTGGCGCTTTCTTTACTTCATTCTCTATTTGCACTTCTAGGTCTTTCACACTTCCACTAGGACTCCTTACTTGTTCGAATTTCTCGCTTGTCGTGCTGGATGGCGTCTGGCTCCCTGTCTCCGATTCTATAATTTGCTCCAATGTGCTGGGTCGTCGACCTCGCGTGTCTGTGTAGTAGTCCACCGTGCCTGGCATGACGGGTGCCAGATTTGCCATCGGGTCGATGCCCAGCAATAACATCACAGTAGCTGGATGCTCCATTATGTACTGCGTGACGAGGTGCAGGAAAGGCTCGGTTTGTGTAGTCTTGTGTACTTTCGGCCTCTCCGGTGTGACAGGTCGTTCTTGCTGTTGAAAAAGGAAAATGTTGGTAACGTCAAGCATATTACAAAAATAAGCTCTATAATCTGCTTCTGTTTGCTGTTTTACTAACCTGATCCCAGCAGAATACGTCAGGCGGATGACTACAGCTCCTAGCCAATTGGTTCGGTGGAGCGTTCCACTGGAGATTAGGATTGGAATGTGCTGCGTGCCATCCTGTTGGTGCTGTCATTTCTTGCAACGCTTGGATGGCGTGGCGAACCTAATAGAAACGTATAAATACACTTTAGTTGTTGTGACCTGCAATCCTTCACTAAAGTTTAAATGATCCTAGTTTAAAGTGTACTCAATTTTACGAGAATGTTTAAGTGTACGAACCAGATCCGCTTCAAAGTATTTGGAACTACTTTAAAAAACCGGCTTGTAGTAGTTTATAAACAAATTTGGTATTAGGTCGTCCTAAGAAGTCGGCAAATGAGCTTGAGCTCATGGTACATCCTTATGCGAAGGCTGCATGATATCATTGCATTATTAAGGATCTACGTCACACGGCTTGTGACAAACGGGTCGACGTGAGATTATTAGAAACGTGACGTCATTGTGTACTTGCCTCCATGCTGAGCGCAGCTACGTCGTGATGCAAGCTCGATACTTGGGTATCAAGCCTGTCCACCGATGACCTTGTATTGTGCACTTCTAAATTGAGTCCCTCCAAAGAGTCGGCTCTTGATACTTTCGGCGTTGCTATAGAACGTTGTCTTTCTATCCTTTCACGTAATTCTCTATGAGAAAGTCGCGGCTGTCCATCGGTCCTAAAAACATTCATAAAGGTCAGAAACCAGAATACTAAAACATATTCCAAATAAAAACATTACTGAACCCTCAGACATAAACAAAATAATATTATTATAACAAAGAACAGAATTTCGTTCAGAAGAACAATAGAAAACCATTTGCTTTGATAGGTGTATAAAACAGAACACGATGTAATAATTTAGCTCAGGAATTATTTTTATGGGCGTTGTTTAGAACCTGAATTTTGTATGCCGAGGGCTGTTTGTGTTTGACGCGGGTAATTTTTTGGGCGTGAGTGCTGTGTCCTCGGCAGCGTTCTCGTCGTCCTCCGATATTGAGGGTAACGTGAGGGATGGGTGTCCGTTGCCGTCTGACTCCGCTTCAGCCTCGTAGCCTTCCCGCAAGTTGTACGTGAGGTCGTGTTGTATATCGTGGATGAACTCTTGCTGGTATTCAGGATATAGTCGCAAAGCTTCGGCTAAACCACCCATGTGTATGCATTTTAAGTCACAGTAGGTCAAAGCCTGTGGAATACCAAAATTATAATTTGTTAATAGTTCCTACTATATTTCGAACCGATTTAATGAATTAATAATTCAGTCTACCTTAACATCGCTGCTCGATTTGACCACAACATCAGGATTATTCCCCTGCGGGTGGGACGAACCCGAACCGTTGTAAGCTTGCAAATGGGTATTCATATCGCAGCCCACCAAATCTCCTTTACCTATTTAATAAACGGCGAGTAAATATTTACGAACGTACGTGTGGTAGAGGGAAGGAGTACAACAATGTGAGGTAAGAACAAAGGGTTCGTTTGTCTAGGCAGCGACTCACCCAGTATAGCGACGACCATGTCATTCTGCATCACTTCCATGGACCCGTTGCATATGTAGTAGATGTACGTTAGCGCGTCCCCTTTGTGGACGAGATACTCGCCGGGGGCGCAAAAGTTGTTCCGAATGTGTAAAGACAGCAGCTTAAGACAACCTTGCGAAGCTGATTCAAATATTGGAAGAGATAATATCTCCCGATGTAAATGTAAAGACACATCGCCCCTCAACTCTTCGGGAAATTCTTTGAGAGTCTAAAAATAAACAAACCCTTCAAATACAGCTACAGGAAATACGTATATGTATGTATTTTCTCATATGACTTCAAAGCGGCAACCTAGATTTGCATTGACGTAAGTCTGTTCTTTCCTTACATGTAAATGAGATTTTATTAAATTGGAGAAGGACGAGTCATTCTCGCAATGAAGGTTCCATACCGACTCGTAAAATTTCAACATTTTCAAATACATAATGATACACATGATCCCTTAAAATATGTCATTCATTTGCGAGGTCATTGGCCTAGTGATATTTTATGAGACATGTCCTCTTAGCGAGCCTGTGGGTACGGAACCCCAAAAATATAAAGGGTTTAGTAAAAAATATACTTTAAAATATAGCAGAGCTAAAGGAGATTAAGTTTATCGCATTATATTTCGTTTCCAGCCCATTAAGCTCGTTTGAATTTCGGACGAACTTCAAAGCAGAGTTATCTTTTCTGCGTATCACCATGCTTCCTCACTGGTGTGTAAAAAATATAAATTTATTAAAAAAAAAGTAATTTATTTTAATAATATAACTATTCAGCAACCATGGTTGTAGAGGCAACTGGTAAATTATAAGTAACTCACAGTTTTATAAAGAAAAATAATGTTTGACACGTGTTTAACATAAAATATACGCTTTCAGTCAGGAGACAAGCCATTCACGTATAAATAATTTACCTCATGTATATCGATGCCGTGATTTAACGACCACATAGTCTGGAAGTAGTCTTGCATCCGTTGCTTCAGTTCCTTCGGCACTTGGTTTATGGTTAGAAAGTCTTTGAGATCTCGCCACTTGCTTTGATACATGGAGCGGCGAGAGTACATTCGCTGTATGATAGCCGTCACGTTTCCAAACACGACAGCGTGCATCAGTGCTAAAACAGTGGATTTCATACTCAACACGTTTCATTAACATATTTTATAGCGATTATGAGGTTCTTGCTGTGGTTACAAACTCATTATTTAGCGCACCGCAAATATTATCAGTGTTATTAACTACGTGCAAAATTTCATGATTAAATCGTTAATTATGGTGTATTTTAGAAGACCCGCATAAGTATATACTTGATATTAATCTACATTATGTTCCATTAAATATATTGGGCGGGTCCCAAATTAGATTGTGTCAGTTTGAATTAACCAGAAATTATGTGATGTTTATCGAGTTTCTTTATTTTATATTTATGAGTTGTTAACAATATAGGTTAAAAGTTAACAATACACCATAGCGAATGAATTTACTTGCAATGTACATAGTTTAAGAGTGATAATTATTTGCACAAACAATTTACCTCCGATCAACATTGTGATTATACTGAAGATCTTTTCTGCGAGAGTATTGGCGGACACATTACCGAAGCCCACACTAGTCAGAGACGAACACGTGAAATAAAGTGCCGTCACATAGCTTTCGCTGTGTGAAATATTAGGAATCGGAACCTTCAACCTCTCCGCCAGATTGTTTATCCATCCTAGAATTAAACACATCCATTTATCCAAACGAAGTCATAAAAAGTTTCATCTCTGAGAATCTCATTGATGTAGGTACACTGCACAGTTGAAGTTTGTGTAAATCGAAAATCAGTCTGTTTTAAATTAATCACGTTGATTCCTATACAGACTTTGAATTGAAGCATTGAAAATGATACAAGTCGTACAAAAACCGACCTTAATACTTTCTTAAAGGTCGACTTTAAATTATTTAGAACATAATTACCTAGGTCCCAACTTTCGTTCTTATGAATTTCAATTTCCTTGTCAGCTATAATGAACCAAATGCAGGCGAGCCAATGAGCTAGCAAAGTGAAAGAGAGCATCAGTAACGTCAGTATCAAAGCCGAGTATTGCGAGTATCGATCCATCTTCTGTAGCAGCCGGGCCAGTCGTAACAGTCTTGTTAATTTCACTAAATGCACATTTCCGTGTGTCGACTCCTGTACGAACAAAGTACTGTTTAACAACGACCAACTTCAAAGCAAATACAAAAGGACCTTTACAAGGTACAGCAAATTGTGAACCAGTTGCTCACTAAAATACAAGACTTGTTTAGTTGGAACAATAAATAAATAATAAGACGGTTAGTTAATTAGTCGGTAGTGTTAACTCACCGCCCCGCTGTATACGTCGGACGCATAAAGTAGGTCAAACGGCAGCGCCGCCAGGAGATCCACCACAAACCAGCTCCGGATGTAATTAAGGGCTATCGCCTTAGAATCAGAGACTACTTCGCCTTTCTTACTTACGAATGTCGTCCGGAAATTGAGCACTATATCTGCAAAACGCATACGTCGAGTGTAAAACTTTCCGTTATAGGATATTAAAAAGTTACTGAAGTGATTTACCGATAATGAAGAGCGCTTCTACCACGACATCACTCGTCACACTTATCCTGGGGTGGCCTTCGTCAACGAAACTGGCATTGTACGGAACCACTACAGCCACATAAAACGTGGCTATGAGGATCAGCCAATCCCAAAATGTTTTGAACACCCCGTAGTGGGAAATTATAAATCTAGACTTTTTTAATGCTGACGTTTTATATTCAGGCAACGGAGGGTCCGATGAGTGTAATAGATTCTGAAATAATTTACATAATTTTATTGCAGCCCTTAAAATTCAACTGTTTTATTAAAATTATTTCGGCATCCCGAGCATATTTTATGAATGAAAGTTTTCAAGTACTCGGGAGCCGTCCCAAACCGGAAGGAGCGGATGCGGCAACCCGAGTATCTACGGTAGCGGAAAACTAAATACGTCCCACGGTATAAAATAAAGTTTACCTTACTAACATTGTTGAGTTTTAGTTTCGTCTTCATTTTATCCGGTTTATAATGTCCTGAAAGCTGGTATAGTACCGCCCTAGAGCGTCGCCTGCCCATGTTCGCGGGCGACGGCGCTTCGGGGTCAAGATTGCCATTCGGGTCTGGAAGTAGGCAACTAGATTCAGCGCGGAACCGGGCGCCCAAGAGTGCCGCTGCGGGTACAAATGGGGATAACGCTAGAGTGACCACGCCAGCCGAAGGCCGCACCGCGGCTCCTGCATGCATAAACCACCCTGTTACACAGTGGACCACTGGCCGAGTACCAGCTACAGTAATCTCTACTTATTATGAGGAAACTCTGCCTCTTCAATGATTTTCTTATAAATCCGCATGAAAGACATTTCTTGATGTTCTCATAATTAAAATTTATCTAATTTTCGACAAATCATTGGAGTGAAATATTTGAAATGAAAGCGAGTTTTGAGGAAAATATACCGATGCGGAGTAAATTAGATACAAGAATCATCTTTTCAGATTGTATATAAGAAAATCTCATAAGTAGGCAGTAATGCTGCTTTGATACCGCGAAAGTTCGAAATACCGTAGTATAAAATTATCGGTTTTATAATGTGAAAACTTTGATTGAATTATTTATTAGGTTATTTCTATTCATGTGCCGGCAAACAAAGCGGCCCAGATAAAACTTTATTAATATACAAACACTGATGATAAGTACCGATTATAAAGTTAATGATGCGATTCTTATGATTTAGAACTTTCGCGTGTTTGTATCAAACACAGAATGTCGCCAGAAATAAAAGTAAGCGAGTACCAAGCAGCATACAGTGCGACAAATTGAAATATTTGAAGATCATAATCCTTCGAAACAAAAAAGGAATTTTTTAAAACACAAATCGATGACAAATATTACCAACAATATATGAAAAGTAGAATAGAATATATAGAAAATAGAGACAAAATTTTCAAAGCTCGAGTAAGCGAGGAAAGATATCACATTTAATCTATTTTAAAGTAAATGTTTACTAAATTGTAGCTTGTACAGAACTGAACTGTAATGTAACTAAAAAATGCAAATGAAATGCTATTTAAGCATGTCTTCTATTCTCAAAATAAAACGTTCTAATTATTAATTAATTGTTAACTTTGTGTCTTGGTATTTATTCTATTATGCCGATAACCTCTTTTAATATAAATTATGAATACGTTGAAGTTAATGATCGGAAAAATAAAAGTAGGCTTTCATAAAATAACGTAAAAGTCAGTTAAGTATCCTTATACTTACTAATTATTACAGCTTCCTACTGGTGTTTAAAATTAATTCGAAGTTTTACATAAAAAATCAATTAGAAGACGGTAGAAGGTATTTAAGAGAACCTACAATCAATGCGGGACTTATCACTTAATCCCCAATTCATAGACAAGCACTCTTCAGACTTGAAAACTTTTCGTAATTACACAAAATGGCCACACTCTGTAGTCATTACAAAGCTGTTTAGTTTAGATCCTAAATTGAGATCATTAAAAGAGCATTTTCCCGTTTCGGCCATTGTAATAATGAACCACGTGGTTTACTAAGAAACTTTTGGATTTGTATTGGGATCAGACATTCTGCCTAATATTTTTTAAACTATCATTGTATGTTTATGAAGAGTTTTGGAGGTAGTAATACCTAACAGGACTTGAAATTATTAGAGCTATTAATATTTAGGACTATTCATTAGCAGTGTGCTTCATTACTTAATCGTTATTTTCAATAGTTTTAGTATATCTCACGATATTTATTTGATTGATTACTATTTATTCTGTTCGACTGTATATTGTAACTATTTACATTAAAAAAACGCTTAGGTTTATCGCGTATGTATATCTTACTGTTCTCTTTTTAAATTTTTGAATTTATTTCTTTCTACTCTTATAACTATCGGTCTTTATGGTTATTATTTTCATTGTATTGCCAACATGAAATACGTTTTTGATAGAACAAATGTATATGTAAAATAATTTAGAGAAAGTTTGTATTTCCTCGGTATTTTTTTGTAATGAAAAGGTTAAATTGATGTAGTTAACATAACATTTTGCGTATTTTTAATTCTACATAGTTGCCTATATGATATATTAGGCTATTTGGTATTTGTTTTATCTATATAAATAGAATTAATAATGTTATTTATTAAACGAGTTTAATTAGTTTTCGACTTATTTCAAAATATAAGTTAACTTGAATAATATTTACAAATCCAATTTCCTTAGTGATTTATTTTTTTATACATTTTCCTCTTTGAAAATATTTTAATATTTTCGCTTCAAATACGATTACGAGTTTTGGAATTTAAAAAAAAACCGGTTTTAAGTAACGTTCATAATCTTATTTGTCTGCTTGTCTTAAACGTTTAACAATAAATTCATGAAATATTCTTCTTATTGGTACAATAAGCCTAGAATACAAAGGGCATTCAACCTTAGCACCCACACTAAACGTACATTATGTATCTGTACAGTGGTGGTTATATAGCCTTCAAATTATATACTGTATTTGTAAACTGGAGTTATTCTTAATCGATTAGAACTTGTAAGATTTAAAAAAAAAAAAAAAAAATTTTAGTTTGTTGAGAAAACAATCATGCCCCAGAACATGCTGTTAGGAAAAAGTTTTACTATGATTTTTTTGTCTATGGTGTCTATAAATAACTGTTAATACAGGCCGGTATGAAAAAAGAACGGATATTTATTTTAATGGCCAACATAATTTGAATTAAGAAAATATTATTATGGTATTCTTAATTTTTATTTATTTTTGCATGTGTCGTACCATTATTTGACAAGTACGGATATAAACGTACAATACGTTAAATTTTTAGGGCGTAAAATTTTCTTCTTTATTACTGTACGCTTTTCTATTTAAAGAGATATATTATTATTATATTACCATACACATAGTGTAGATATTATACTGCCTGTATACACAGTTACAAATATAACAATTATTTGTGAATGTGCAAAGAAAAGCATAACAGTCTGTTTGTATTAAATAGTGTGCGTCTGTGTGGGATACAGCCAATGTTCGGTTAGTTTTGTTATGAGTTCATGCTATGCTATGCAAGTAATGCATCACGGGGGTGAGGTTAGTGCCATGCAGCGGGGACTAATCCATCCTCCGATCTACTACGGATTTCTGATAAACAAAACCTTGTAGTTAAAGATCGGATTTCGTATATCCCGACCAAGGAGGAAGTATTAAAAAAGTATAAAACAGTATGTAAAGAAATCAAAATAAATGTAGATATTGCGCAAAGTATTGACCAAGAAATAATAATTGATAAAGCGCAACTGGCGACATGTTCATCCAATTTGGACCTAACAAGGGGTTAGTAATGTTGTTATTCAAAAGTTAAATTGAATACAGGGTGGTTTCAATTAATTCGATACACAAGTTTGTGGTATTCAAAGGGTATTTGAATACTTGAACAAACAGCCAATGCTTCAAGTTTTATTAGACATTGTTCGCAACCCTTACAACTAGCAGAAATTCAAATAAGGAAGTTTTAAAATGTGTTCCTGATTTTAGTTTGAATTTTTAAAACTAAAAGTTGACTATGCATTTTTATTAGAATTTAAACTTGTAGCATTGTAGCTTAGTTTAAATTGTTAAAGATAATATTATTAATAAAAAGTATTAATTAAAATATAGTGAAAACTATGTAGTAAAATGCTATTATTGTAAATAAACCTACATACATTTGTTTGAATGAGGTCCTTTGCTAAAAGTACGGCGGTAAGTTCAACTCCATTAATTTAAAATATGATGTGTAGTGATGCATTTGTTGTTACGAAGAAAACAGTTTAACCATTATTACTACTGAATGTTTACTCACTAATTCTAGTTCTACCTATCTACTCAGACTTGCCAGTGCTAATTCTGATTGGTATCAACTAAACTTTATTTTCTATCTTTTTCTTCTTGCCTCAATTAGAAAGAGAAAGTCCGTAAATAGACATTGTTTTTATATTTATCTAATATTTTCTTTAGACTATTTAGTTGATAAACAAGAGAATAAGCACCAATTGCCTGTCTAGCTACACTAATGAAAGAAGTCTACATAGTGGGTACGATACAATACTCGTAAAGGAACTTTACCGTGCGGTGATGCTCGAAACTCGCTATGGCAACGGGGAGCTACGGGAGCTCAATCTAATGCTATCAACCTTATAGATGTACCTATAGCACTAGAACAACGTGCTTAGTGATGAGTTAATACAAATGCACAACTGTCAGCATCCTCGAGATAACATCTCAATAAGTAAGTTGAGAAGGCTTCGGGACAAGGTCACTATTTAGAAAGTACTTATTATAATTTTTTATAGGTTGCATTTTGTCAAGTCTCAAGTATCATCATTATAAAGGCACTCACCGCTGTCGAAGTTCTCATTAGTGTTCATGGCGGCCATCTTAGTGTTGGTGATATCCTTGAAGGAGGCGAGAAATAAAACCACTTCTCGTTTCTCGTTCTTAATTGGGACGATGTCGAGCAGGCACCAAAAGGGAGATCCTGTAAAGTTTAATGAATGTTAATTTCTTTTGAGATTCAAAGGAAGAAATCGGTGTCTCACAAAACATTGATTATGTATGAATGGAGCGTAAAATTTTCGCGACTTTAATGTTCCGTGAAGCGTTTACTGGACGTCATTTGAAGTATTCCTTATTATAGTGTCGGTTGAGCGTTGTTCTGGAGTACTTAATGCTGGTGATGAGGAACAGCTGGCTGCTTGTAAAAGTTTAATTTTGTCGAATGGAATCGTAAACCTCTTATTGGTTTTGTTTACGATTGTGGCGTAGACGACGCTTTGCAAAGCCATAAATGCAAAGGATCGAGGACTGAATTAAAAGTCTTTCTTCTAATGACTCAGGGTTTTATGACTGAGAGTGCTTTTTAATTTGTTATGTAAATATCAAAATATTTTTAATTTTGTGTCCTTCTGATTTTATTATTAGGTCAGTGTGTCGTCGACTTTTGATACTTCATCAACGGTTTATGTATTTTCATGTTCATTTGTACTTACAGCAATTATATCAGATTTACTTAATGTATTTAATTTATGTTGTCTGATATCATGGAACTTCTGCAATGACAGTGAACTTTAAATAAAGGTCATTTTATTACAAGCTACAAACGTGCAACGTAGGAAAGTGCAAGAGTTTAAATACATTTCTACAAATTCAATGTAATGTAATACTTTGATATTTAGTTGGGAAAACTTACTAGCAGTGCAATCCGTTTAATGTTTATTACGAAAAATTTCGTAATACTTTTAATCGTTTTCTGATGCTGTATTTAAACTTTTAAAGATTGCGAAATTCTCCTTTAGGAGTTAAGATTTCGTTGAAAGCTTTTGAAATAGGTTTTTGTTGTGTGGTTACGTCATAATTAGAACATTTGTGAAAACTACTAGGTTGTTAACATTAATGCAACACCAATTCGTGCTTAGGATAGGTACTAACGACCTCTTGAGGAGCTCGTGAAAGCTTTTTAAGTGTTGATCAGGCATCTAGGTTTAGTAGTTACAAAATAGCTTTAATGACTTCTAGGCCATTGCCCCTATTAGTTAGGATTCATGATAATTGAATTGAATTGTACTGTAACTAAAATGTTACCTCAGGAGAGTTTAGTATTGTAAATTGACTGCACGGCTGCCGTGCAATGTGTCGCGGGTTTGATACCCGCACGGAACAACTATTTGTGTGATTCAAAAATTGTTGTTCCGGGTCTGTGTGTCATGTGTATGTGAAATTGTATGTTTGTAACCGCACCCACGAAACAGGAGAAAATTCTAGTGTGGGGCAACGTATAAAAAACAAAAAATAACAAACACAACTTACCATTTTTCTTATAAAATATAAGTTCTAGTTTCAGTTCGTGTTTTGCTTCTAACGCCGAGTCGATCTCATGCCGATGTTCGTCGCGTGTGTCGGGTCCATGGAGGAACTTGCACGCGCACCCTTTCTGCATAATGTGCGCGCGTGCCCACCCTGTCAGCTCACAAAACCCGTCTGAGCAGTACACGATCGGGTAGCACGGCACCTGAGCGTTGCCCAACACGAAGTTGCTGTCTGTGGACCAGAAAATAGGACAGGTAAGAGGAAATATCATGAGTTAGTGGTGGTATAGAGCGATATTTCGAATTTGCATATTATATCATCATAATATTGGGGTCTGGAAAACTGTCTGCCGGTGTTTACCCGCGGGTAAAGTGCAATAAATAAAGCGGCTTGGAGCAGGAGAAGGAACGGCGTGGTTTTTAGTCAACAAGAGTTTGACACTCCCTTAAAAATGTTACATTTCTAACAAACCGGCCTCAACGATTGGACACCAAAACAATTTGTAACTGTAGTCTTTATGAGAAAATCACACAAAAACCACTCACTATCTGTAGATTTCATCATTAACACCTAAAAGCGCGCACCCATTGCTGAGCGAAGGCCTCTTCTCACACGGAGATTGAACATTGATCACCACGCTTGCTCGAGACGGATTGGAAATATATTAAGGTTTATTTTGGCATACCATCAAGCCAAAATAAGCCTTAAATCCAGACCTAGAGATTCGCATTGCTTTGTGTGACGTCATTCTGAGACGACTGTGCTACATAGGTTAGTTGACACATTTTGATAGCATAGAAACATGCAAAGGTTAACTATTACAACTCTGATATCAAGTCACATGAGGCTATGTATTTGTGACGTCATAAAATGACTAAATAACAAAACAAAATCTATGATGATAAATTCATGTTTATTGCCATAGACTGGATGGCTTCAAGATCGAGTTTAGAATGGCGTCTTATTCACGTTTACCTACAAATATGTTGCTCAAAATAGCTTGCAAAATGATCAGTTTAAAAGTGTTGCCCAATATGTCCAATTATAAATATCTAATTAGGATACAATATAAGTGTAAGTAGGGTATTTTTATTATTAGATGCTAAACTTAAAATATAGTATTTTCAAACTAACGTCTGAATTTTTTTGTGCAGAATTTATGTAAACGCGCATAACAACGTAGGCATTTGACTAGTACGAAAATTTGACTTCACGTCAGGTCTTTTCCAGACTTTTGTTCATAGCTTTCACAATAGCGGGGATTAATTCGACCGTATTCACTGGTTTTATGAGGAACGGGAATTTTATTCAGTTTTTGGGATATAAAATGCACGTGCAAGCACATTGAATATTTATAAAAGCGTTCGTAGGTGCAGGTTAGGTTAAAGTTTTGATTGCTCTCGAGTGCCCGGTGGGTGCCCCGCCCCACACATTTAAGCGGTGAGTGGGTTATGAGCGTTTAATCCCGGAACTTTGTTCATAGCAGTTCCAGTAAATGTTTGCACCCAAGAGACGTACCTACACACCGCGCAACGTCTCCATTTTTTATGAAGCTTCAGATACTACGTGTAGTATGGCATTTAGGCTGAAGTAAATAATGTTATTTATTATAACATATCGATTCTCTATCTACTTTATCATTTTCTGTCTCATCAGAATGATTGACAACATAATACTCAGATACTCATCCAGTTTTCTTTATTATTTACAGGATGTATTATGACATGAAGAAATGTTACATTTTCTATTTGAATAACCACAATGTCTGTGACCAAACTAATGAAAAACTACCCAATCCAATCTAGCTATACAAAGTTAAGGGAAGGCTCTCCAAACTAATCTTTGAATGGGGAAAATTGGTGTTTTTCACAGGCGGAATATATGCGGATGAAATTCTATATTTCTTAAGTAGTTATAGGAAACTGAGCTCGATTTCATGCATGGCGACTGTGAGTATTAGCTTTTAGTATTTAGAAATGACGTCATTCATGTTTCGAACCAACGAGAAAGGAATTATATTGACTGTACAATAGTACCGTTGCTTTACCGTTTGAGCAATTTCCACAACACTGAAATTGCTTCGCCAGTTGCCCTCACTAACTTCGGCGGTCAATTTGCAACCCTCAGGACCATGATTATAGATCCCGTATATTGGGAATATGTTCTATCTGCGTTAGTTTTATCCATAATCCACATACAGAAATACAAATATCAATCTAAGATTATGGGCTTTTTATGTAATAGGACAACTAAGGCGCAGACGGATTACCTGATGGTAAGCAAACGGCACCGCCCATGGACACCCGCAATACAAGAATAATTAAAAGTGTTACGTTTTCGAGATTTAGGGATTGGGAAAGAGTAGGGAGACAGGAAGGACTAGGCCTCCGGTAACCTCACTCGTACGACGTAACACAACGCTGTGGTTGTTTCAAGCCTAATTTCTGTGAGTCGTGGTATAACTCCGGTCGAGCCGACCCATTCGTGCTGAAGCTGACTCTCTTTTATAAGTCTTCGCAACAAAACATTAAAGTATAAATTTTGCCATTGCTTAACTAGAAATAAATTAATCTACGATCAATTGAGTACAAAGTTACTGGAACGGTAAGACGAAATGAAAAGTCCTACAAATACCTTTACAAAATTTAGATAACCAGTTCTTAATTAAAATCCTCAAATAACTTCAGTGTAAGTGTAAGCCTTGTAATAACAAACAATTTGAGAACCGTGAACTATTTCGAAGAATAATTGAGAGGAAGTCATATTGGTTTTCATTTTGCTCTAACAGTTAAGGAATTTGGAAAATGTGGATAGAAGTGCATTCCTACGAAATTGGGCTGCGTGACAACCCTGTCCTCACTTCCTTATAGTCTCTCTGAAACACAGGTACACCCCTAGTCACAAAGTTCAAGCCACCGTTAACGTGAAATGAGTATTTTAATGGAATTTATTTTGATAGCCGTCAGTCAAACTTGAAGTATCGATGTAGAATATTGTTATGCTTTGCATTTCTGTTTATTTTCTTAACCGTAAGTAGGAATACTTGTTGAACTTGATTTTATAAGCATAGGTAATTATAATACGGATATCAAATTTTATATAAAAACGCTTATTCTTGTGTTTTCAGATTTTAAACAATTGCCTCTTTTTGTGATCATGATTTTTGTTTTATTTTTACTTAAAATAACATTGCTGCTATCAACATTTCTTAAAAATTAAGTCTAATATGTAAAAAATAACTAAGTTCGTATTTTAACCGATTTAAAACACTTTGACCTTGATATTGGTACACATAGCGGTAGAATTGAAGTTGAATAGGTAAAAACTAAAAATATAATAATAGTAAAACGAAATAAGAAAATTTGGGACTTATTTGACGTTTTATTCACAGGAGACGTTCATAATAAAATAAATCAATCGCTTGATTTGATTTTCGCGTTGACTTGTTCATTAGAGCGTATCTCAGTCTATATTTATATAGATTATAAATATACTGTATAATTTATGAAGAGAGCGAGAGCAATTTATGTTTAATGCAAGCTAACTATATGAATTATATTCTCATCCAGGATGGATATCTTCCGGCGATAAATTACTGTGAGAATATGTAAACAAAAACGATTAAAAAGTTGCAGTTTACCGAGATAATCTACACTAATCTACAGTTTTATTTAAGTTAGCTAATTGTTTCGTATCACGCGGTTTTCTGGGTAAAATATTTAATTCGTGCGGGCCAGCACGGTGGCTACAGCGTTCGAAAAACTTTTACCACTGACAAATAGTTTTAACTGTCGAAAAACCCGCGTCAAAGTCAAAATTAACTTCTAGTTTCTAGCTACTTTTTAATTAAATTAAATAATGAAAACAAATTACTTGAACAAAAACGGTAGTTTGTTTAAAAATGATAATGTAGAAGCAGGTAACACTTTACGCGATTAAAAAAATAAGTAAGGGTGCCAAGTATTTTTATAAACCGTTGAATATTACAGGGAAGACTTTATAAATTTAGATTTTTCTATATGCTAATATTGATTTAAATGTTACATTTTGAGGGTCGTCTGAAGAGTGGAAAACGACAAAAGAAATGAAAATCAGAGACAGGAATAAGTATGTAAATCACCGTACATTAAGTTGAAATAAATGAAAAATATGACTATGAATGATAGCCTGTTTATACGCATAAAAGAGAGTGTATGTATATTTGGGTAAATTGTACTGGTTTTTGTAAGTCCCACATAAATTTAAAATAAGAAATTACATAAAAATGGTCCCTATCCATCAGACAATAAAACTGGGCATCAGTCATACTTAAAATGAGGATAGGACGAAAATTATGGCGAAAACTCAAAGTTGTGGATAGAAAATAAAGTCAATCTTGTAGATATGAAAATGAATAAATTATTTGAACTTCAAAATGTACTGAAGTAACTGGCTTGTGAGTGTAAAATGGGAATTAACATTGTAACAAAGGGCTATAATCATTGGATTTGATCAAATTAGACCAGTTAAGCATAAAGCTAATATTTAATGATCTTTTGTTTCATTACGCACTTTAATATTAAAAGTAGCCTTGGTTATTACATAATCTAGAATTCAAAGAAGAGAGGATTCTGAGAAGAGGTTGAAGTAAAATACTTCTTTGTTAAATTAACGAATAACTTAATCAATAACAGGTGGTTACCTACGATTAGATTTGTCTTAGGTAGGCGGCTCACCAAACTATTTTTATTTTGTTTTCATAAATAAATCCGAGAAATCCTTAGTATCATATTTCCTTTTTGCTCCCAAAATGAGATATTTTCGTTACTAAGGCCATTGTTTAGGTATATTTCGCATCTACAGCAGATAAACACGGTCTGATAACGACCGAGATATAAATCTTATTATGTGTATGGTTTCTGGCTAGCCCCCGAGGCAATGAGAACATATTACACCCGTGTCCTTCACGACAAATTATGTCCTTACACAAAAAATAACATAGGGTCAGTAATATCCGATGGCAACGTGGAAATAAACTGTGGCATTGATCTAGTAGCTTTTGTTAGGAAGCAAATGGCCATTTCTATATAGTATTTTTAGTCTCTTTGTTTGTTCACTTCTTTATTCAAAAGCATGGCTATAACTAACCTGTAACATTATTTAATAAGGAATTTCTAAGGACTATTTTAAGTACGAACTAAATGTCTTTCTTTAGTAACTACTGGTGACGCGCCCCGGCTTTCCACGGGTGCAATGCTGTCACTAAATTTCTCCACTTATTAATGGCTATTGTTATACATTGTAAAACTTCCTCTTTAATGTATACAAATACCTTATCAAAATCCGTTGCGTAGTTTAAAAGATTGAAGTGTACATAGGGATATAGGGACAGAGAAAGCAACTTTGTTTTATACTATGTAGGTATATGGCTAGGGCTTTCATTGAAGGCGACAATTTCTTAGCGGTCCGCCCAGACTAGACTTTCATACACGCGATTCTTTTCAATTCAATGCACGCGATCTAAAAATAGAGCACACTTAGAACGTCTCTTTTCAGATTTTCTGAACACCCTGTTTGCATGCTAATGGCGATACATAACGTTATCTTGAGGTTCATGACGTACTTTTACATTTTTTACCTGATAACAAACACTGTGGAAATTGTTACGTTGTTATTTCATATCGTATTCATCTTGTCTTTTTTTATGTAATGGATCGGTAAACGAGCTAACGGATTACCTGATGGTAAGCAATCAGTGCCGCCCATGGACACCCACAACAGATGAGTTGCGAGTGCGTTGTCGACCTTTTGGGCATTAGGGATTTGGAGATTTAAGGATTGGGGTGGGGAAGGATTGGGCTTCTGGTAACTTCACTCACACGGCGAAACATAACGCTGTGGTGGTTTCACGCCGGTTTTCTGTGAGGCCATGGTATTACTCCGGTTGAGCCGACCCATTCGTGCCGAGGCATGGCTCTCCCACACTTGTACACTTTCCTGTACAGCATAACTTACTTTATAAGTAAGTTCTCAAAATATAATACAATTCGGTCAACTTAAAAGTTATTTACCACGAAAATCCGTTTTCAATATCCAATAATGAATAAACAGCCTTGAAACATTTTAATCCATTGATTTACAATAATCAAATCTATCTGCTAATTACAGCTCTCAGAGTGTTTCCAATAGACTTTAATGGAATCAATAATAATCGGCTTTCCCTTCCTAATGAATTAATAGGATCAACGCGACAAAATTACTTCATGTTCAGAGACACCGGATATTCGATATTGATGAAGGTCTGACAACAGATTACAATTAAAATGTCTTATTGATGACAGATTTCAATAAACAATAGATTTTTTTAACCTTGAAATAGTTGATTTCGTATTCTACTTTTAGAATATGGGCTAGATTTAAATACCTATCCTGTGGTATGGATTTGGTTTGTTCGATTTGTGATCTGAGAACATTCTGTCTGGAGATCTGTACAACACAGTTTGTTACATTATTCTTGGACTGAAAATATTGAAGTCATTTTTTTTTAAATATCGGGAATCAAGCTAAACTGATAAAAAATAACGACTTACTCATGTGAATTAATTGAGAAAAGCTCTAGTACTACTTAGTTTTAGCTCACAAATAGTTTCAATCAGCTACGCGACGTTGACGCGACGTGCACGCACGCTACTCATGATTAAGAGTCCCGTTGTGGCTTGAAACTAGTAGCCCCTTTTTAGCCAATATATTTAAACATCATTCCAAATTTAAAAGAATTTGCTAAATGTGGATTGTGGACAGAAAATTTGCATTACAACCAAGGTAATCAGAGAAAGTGCAGGTAACATCAATGAGACAGACTGTCACACTCCTCCCCTACAGCGATTTAAATGGAACAAATTGCATCCAGTTACTTCCCACTGGCGATCGTCCAATGACGTATCGATGGAGGTTTTTGGTATCTACAAACTATCATTCTGTGATAGAGCACTGTTGACGAAATGCTATAGCGTAACTATTCTAAGTTATGGTGCCGATGAAAATTGAAGATAATCTTAATAGTATCAATTAACCTCAACCAAACAAAATAACATACAAAACCTCTTGCTAGCAATCACTCGATTGAAGATGCAGTGAAACAAACAAATAACTCGTATAAATTAATGAATAAGTACCTTCTTGTTTATTATAAACACATGTAACGGTCACATCGTAACGTTTGAAGTGGTCGTACACATTTAAAACTAGAAATAGCTTTATCGCGGTCATGACTGCAGCATAGTGCACGTTTGCGAATCGACTTCTAATTTTACTGAGCCGGTTCGGTCAATGCGCCGACGAGTCAGGGAATCGAACAGAAATAACGGGCAGTTAATTGAAACTGGCGCCGTTCCTGGCCCGTATAATGTGCAATCAAACTACTTCAGTAAGATGGTGTGCATCACACGCTAATAATGTTTATATTGTGTAATAGCACGTAATATATCTACTACTTACGAGAAAGCGCTGTTATTGATTCATTATATCGTGCATACGTCACTTATTCAACAATCTAATGGCGTAGAGTGAACATTTTGTACCAAATACAGGCCCATTTCTTAATAAAAAGTTTATTTTATTCGCGAACCTACACAATGTTCGTAATTCAGTTCTCTTTCACAAAATTGATTCTACAATATATCGCGTATTCATCTTCTAAAATCAAGTTCAACTTGTATGTACAAAATTGAGTTTGTTCAACTCCAATACAAATATTAATACTTTTTTCTTGTACGGAACGTGTCTTTTGGCAAAGTTAATCCCCTGCATTCATCAGAATTCCTATAAAGGCGCACAAGGAGTGAGATTACCGGTTGGCCGTTGAATAGCAGCTGATCCACGGACCTGTTTCAGGCCTCTTTTTACCTTTCATATAGCTTTTTCTTTCAGCTCGAAGGATTTTAAAGGATCGGTCTTTTATTAAAATTGTAGTTACTAAGTTGTAGTTAGTAAGCTTACTAAGATTTTCTTAAAGTTTGAGACGACTATCCGAAACTCACATATTAGCTGTCCTTTACGGGTATAACTACTTCTAGGTAGCATAGATTTTTCAGTTTTAATCACCATACAGTTCTAAAATGAACCCTGTATTACAAAGTGGTTTACAAATATTATTTGAATGTTTAAAAAAAACTAAACTATTTAATCTCTTTTTACTTTTATTCCAGCTGATAATAAAATTAATCTCGAAACCCACTATCGTCAGAGCACGATATTAAACGTCGTTACTCTAATGCAAGATTACTTTACATTGAACGTTTCTTAGTAAAATAAGAAAAGTAGAGGTTCGTATTAAACTCATTAAATTAACTTAGAAAAAGGTTTCTTAGTAAAATTTTATAAAGCAGTGTAAGAACAGCGGTCTCATAGTAAAAAGAAAAAGGGGTATAATATTCTATTAAAATAACTCTACAGCGAAGGTAAACGAAAACAATATTTTGAAAACAAATTATATTTTTTGAGCGTCTTAGCTTTTATGGACCCTCCAGTAGCTATAGGTTATTTGTGGTAATGAAGCATTTTGATTCCCAACATTTTATATTTTAAAAGAATAAGTGATTAATAGAACAAGAAATGGTATAGCGATTATGTATAGGAGAGCTATGCTTCGGCACTTATGGGTCGACTCGACCGGGCGATACCACGGCCTCACAGAAAAGCAAAGCGTTGTGTGTTTACTGTGTGAATGAAAAGCCTAATCCTTCTTCCTTTCCCTCAACCTCTCCCCAATCCCTAAATCCCCAAAAGGCTGTTAACGTAACTTCTCTGGTGTTGCGGGTGCGGCGGTAAAAGCGCTACGAGGTATCTCACCGCTCAACTCGGAGTACAAGAACGAACAATCAGGAACAAGCAAAAACCACCCGTTTTTAGGCAGTAAGAAGACTGATTTTCCTCTCTCAAAAAATGACGTGTGTGGGTGCACCCTAACAGAAGAAACATACGTAGGTACTCAATTACAATTTAATGTTACAAGTAAATAGAGGATTAACTAAATAAATTCGGCTTGTCTTTTTAATCTCACAATTTGCTCGTTTCTCTCACAGTTGTTTTCTTATTTACTTATTTAATGTTGTTATACTAAATGAAAACAAACGAAAGATTTTTCTTCTAAAATAATGCGATTAGGTCGGCGTTTGTTTTTTAAATAATTTATTAAGTTGTTCTGTGGCTGTGGATACTTTTCAAAGGCCGGGTCTGTGAGCTCCAGTATTTGATTTGTATTAAAAGAATTTATGAATGGCTGTTATTTTTTTCTTTTTATTGTTCTATTTTGCACTTCAAGACTTAATATTATAGTGTAATAATGTAGTTTTCTTTGGGTGCTAATGAAATGTTGGGGTTCCTAAAGGCGTTGCTTAAAGGAGACAACCACATTACTTGAGAACTATGTAATGACTAAAAGACATATTACTATAAGATACACGGTATAATGCAACTCAGCACTACATAAGGGAGTTAACACACTTAATACTATAAAGGACCGTACTCACTATAATTATTACATTTCACTAACTATAATCCCTATTTTGTCACGATTGTTATGTATGTTCCAAATTCAAATAACAAAAGGGAATTACGGTATTACGTGTTTAACAAATATTTTCCATAAGTAAACAAATAACAATTCAACAATATTGGTATAAAATAAAATGTTAAAGCTATATTAATTAATTAATTTGAATCATACCGTGCTCGCGAGCCTTGCAACGCATTACCTAATTAATTAGAACTACTGAACTGTGGTTGGATAGAGGTCCACTTTTGTAAATGCAATATATAAACAGAGATGGGAAATTAAATGTTTCCTAGAAAGCTTATTAATTAGATAGTTACTTTTAATGTATGAAATGCATTGGTTAAGGGCTTAATTCATTTATTTGATACTAGCGACCCGGCCCTGCTTCGACCGGTGCAATGATAATAATAAATAACTCCTCTATTTAATGAATATTATTATACAAAAATACCTCCCTCTTCAATCACTAATACTATCTGTCAAAAAAACCGCATCAAAATCCGTAACGCAGTTTTAAAGATTTAAACACACATACATAGGGCTATAGGGACAGAGAAAGCGACTTTGTTTTATATTATGTAGTGATACTAAACTTAGCTTACAACTCCCGTGCTGGAGGATGGGAGAACCATGCTCTAGCACGTATAGGACGGCTTGAAATGATTCACAGACTCACAGAAAACTGGCGTCAAACAGTGATAGCGTAGTATTTGTTTGTAACTAGATTATCTGAGGCGCAGTCTCTCTTGAGGGCCAAACGCAATGAGGCACCGTGACCACGGTCTAAAGCAGGAGAAGGAACGGGGGTTTTTAGTCAGTAAGAGTCTGACACTCTCTCTCGCCTTATCCAGTGCGGAAGAAGTCATTTCATAATTTTCTCCCTCTTCTAAAGGCCAGCATTGCACTTGTGTAGGTGTAGGTATATGGAAAACTCTGATTGTTTTTAACATGTGATTTGTCTGCTCGTCGTTCAAAATAACAATATCTAGTCGAATAGGCACACAACACATAAGAAGAAAAGCCTAAAAGTAGAAGTCTAGACTTTTATTGTCATTGCTACAAATGAATTCTTTTCTTTGCTAGTGTTACCAAAGCCTTTTGTCTTCAAGAGTTCATCAGACGAAAATAATCCGAAATCTTTTAGACAGATTTTATCCATTGTTTTTTTTCTCATTTATTACAGTTAAATCTCGAAGGCAAATGCATATTTAAGGAGAAAAAGTCTTTCAATAAAATTGGTTTCAGTTGTGCCCATTCAATGTTTCGGTAACCATTACAATAAAACCGACCATTCATCCCTTTACGATGGACTTTTGTTCCCACTTCAGATAACATGAAAAGAAAAAGTTCTTTTGTACGTACGTACTCAAATATATTATGTATGTAGTGAAAATCTGATTTTTGATTGTGTTCGTGCACAAAATATTTTGCATCAGATTGAATATTAATTAAACTGTAATAACAGGAGACGAA